CCAGTGTCTGTCCTTGACTGCCCATTCAACGATGAAGACGACGATGGGGAAGTAAACTCTCCCTTTCATCACCAAATTCTTGTTCGTGTTCAAGGTACAGCCAAATTTTTTTTTTATGGGCAGATACAGCCATTTTTTGGGAACTTGCCCCGTATTATGCCATTTAATTAAGAGTTGAGGGTACTCCATCCGTAGGCCATTGAAAATCTTACTAATCCTTCAATGCCGCGGAGACAGAGTCTAACAATGAAATATGCCCATCTGCATCCTTGTTCTTATTAATTAATACACAGCAGGGAACAGAAAGAAGCTGATGAAAAAGACCAGAAGGTTCGCGCGCCTGTATCAGCTTCAGCCTTTGGACTTACAGAAGCGAATCGCCACGGTGAACTGTACCGAAGACTCTCATTGTGAACAAGTAGTAGAAGACGAGATGATTCAGGGCACAAAAGATCCCCACGAGCTACTCAGCATTGTCAAGGAAGGAGCTACATCGTCTAGTTGCAACAATGGCGGCTTGATATGGAAAGCCGAGCTTCTGCTTCTGGACTATTTGGAAGAGAAAGCAGCAGCGAGAGGGAGCAACAAAGAAGGGTACGAGGAAGAGTTGGAGGCAGTGGAGGAGTGGATTAATTAAGGGGCAGCAGAAGGAAATGTTTGCCGATTGGGAGGTGAGGGAGAGCAGAAGTGTGTACCTTAAACATATGGAGGAGATCAATGGAGGATGGAGGAGTTTAGGTGAAGGGAAGCAAGAGGTTGGGTTGGAGATGGAGAATGAGATCTTCAATTGTCTCATCAATGAAGTGTTGGAACTCTAGTGATGGTTGGTTGTTAATTAGACTATATAGTAGCAGTTATCTCTGTATGGTGATTAGGGGAGCGGTTACGGTGCTAATTGTACAATAGTTAGCACCGTCCTAACCAAGGGAAAAACTACTACTAATTTGAATTAGTAGTGATTTAGCTTAGATGTTGTATTGATTTTATAATAATAGTTTGAATTAGTAGTGATTTAGCTTAGATGTTGTATTGATTTTATAATAATCCATAGTGATTTCGTTACTTTTAGTAGCGTTTTTTGCTAGTTATCACGGTGCTAACCCCTATAAGGGTTAGCACCTAATCCCATCCTTGGTGATTATGTATACTGGGTTAACTAAAAAGGAAGGAAGAATTTAGGGTTGCGGCATCTTTCATCAGGGCAGTTTTAGTCAAAAAAAATTTGAAGCTGCGGAAAGAATGGCTAAAGCTACCGTGATGAAAAGAAGATGATGCATTTCTTTCACCTTGAAAGAGTTTGAGTTTTGAGAAAAAGTTTAAGCAGCAGCAACATCATGTTTTATAGTTTAGCTCTCTTTCCAATTTGTTATCCAAGTTCAAGATATAGCCCAACAATACATCTTTTTTCCGTTCTAGTGCATTCGTCAATGCAGTTGTATATATGTTATCGTCTCAAATCGATCGTCACATGAAGAATTACTCCAATCTAATTCGTCTTAATTTTATTACCCTTACATCAATGCAATTATCTTACAATTGCATATGTAGTTAAATAATATATATGCGCAATAAAATAATCTTTTCACATTTGTGTACAGAATACTATGTAATCTACACGAAAACAATACAATTTACAAACTTGTTTAAAACACACTACAAAGCAACATTTCTTTCAAACTTGCTCCAAAAGATAGCTCTTTTCTTTTCCCCTAAAATCTTGTTATGCACATAGGGAGATCCAAGCGGCCCCTAAAACCTACAACTCCAAGGGCCCCATCTCAATTAACCCCACTAAACCTTCTAATCTAACTCAATGTCCTTAAGGTTTAGGGTTCAACCATAACCCAAACCCTTCCATAAAAAATATCAAAATGCTTGTATCATTAATTCGGAATTTAAAACAATAACATAATTTAACAATAACATCTTTTATTATGTCATTAAGGGTGCATTATTCCCAAATAACATCATATTTAACAATAACATAATTTATGTCATATAAAAGGAACGAGGATGTTACACAATTTGTTATCTAATTTCAAGACATAGCCTAGGTGTTGGGCCCATAGTTGAGCGATACTGGATCCTAACCCAGTAAGAATGGTAAGTTAGGCCCAATAGGGGGCCCAAAAGGAAGACGCCCGCGGGAAATGACACGATAGGGGGTCGCTAGTGATGTGACAGGTATAGACCGCCTGACATAAAGCAATGATTGTGATAGGGGAAGGGGATCTCCGAAAGATACTCACCTCGAAACAAGCAGGACTGAACATTAATTGTCCGCCGTAGGCAGTCCAGGTAAAGTACCACATAACTGGGAGGCCTACGACGTGCATTTAATGACCTAAGCTCTACTAAACTAAGTAGAAATACCCTCACAGCATTGATGATAACTCAACTACTTCCTCTCTCTCTCTAAATACAAACATATATTCTTACTTCTCTCTTTAAGCATCGTAAAGTGTCCAGGACAACCGCCTACGAACCCTTGTTTTGCAGAGGTCATGAGTTGCTACCCTACTTCATCGGAATTGTCTTCTTGAAATGTGGTTGTGGAAGTCCGAAGGGGTGCAGGTTATTGGGAATGTAAGGTTATCAAATTGTTAGATAACCTAATGAATTAATTGAACTCTAAATACTAAAACGTAAATTGAATATGTTGATTAGGTAGTTCCTATAGAGTGGCACAAAAATTTTTAATGTGGTAAACCCCCTCTTTGTCAAGGTGATGGTTTCATAAAAGACGAGGAAAGGAGAAGGGTGGATAGATGGCTTTTTGACTCCTGACTAGAGGAGTGAATTCACCCCAACCATGACTACTGAGTGGGTTGTAATGAAAGAAGAATTGTGGTCTCTGGATCTTTCCATTCTTAATTATCTTGCAGAACCCATTTCCCATGTTAGGGTTGTATCCAAACACGTGTAGCTAGGAATAAATGAGAAGAGGGATGGTCGGTTGGGGGATGACTCTATCTGAAGGGAGGAGTGGACAAACATCACCACTTCATCTCTTCCATGATAAGGGGCTGAATGGGAGACTGTCAAGCCTAGTTGATTCCCTTAGCTAACCCCTTCTCAAACACTTATCACAACCTTAGTTAGAGAGGGAGTTTCCAGGTGGAGGGTCGGTGAAAGGTTATACCCAAACCAGGTAATTGCCTTCCTTCTTTGTGGTAGCTTCTGGGTATCTATGAAAAGAAACCCCTAATGTTACATGCATAGAGATGAATGAAGTACTCCTGCCTAGAATCGTCCGTAAGTTTTCATCTTAGTACTGGTGGTGTAGCCGAGTGAAGCTTAGGAAGTTCAGCAAAACATGATTGAAGGGGTCCTGTTTGCGTGGGGAAAAAGAAGTGTGTTTGGGGTGGGGATGATTATTCTGGAAATGGAAGAATGTATATATATATACGAATCATGTGGATATATAAAGAGGTGGGTTGTCTGTGATATATATACACACGAGTTGGGTATGGGTCGTTAAGTGGAATTATATTGCAGGGATAGTGAATTACATCCTTGGGATGTATAATTATATACATACATAATGGTAATTAAAGTGGGAATGATGATGTTCTGCACGTTAGCTTCTTGATAATGGTAAGATTGAGTTGTTAATTGTTATTGGGAGTTTTTATTGCTTACCTTGTGCTGTTGAGTTAAGAAAGTGGATAATTAAGTATGATAGGAGTGGGGCTGGAGTAATAGAAGTGCTTTTGGGAATCCTGGATGGGTAATATATTTTTGGAGCGGTGGTGTAGCTATTTAAATTATATTGCAGCCCCAATGTACGTTAGCCCTCTTGTTTTAACAATATGATCATTAAACTAATTGAATAAATCAAGTGGTATGGGTTAATTGCTAACCTATTAGAGGTGATTAATTGATTTTGTGTAAAGGAATGCAACAAGCAGGAGAATCATTGAAGCAAAAGGGAATAACCGAATAAAAGTCGTACTGTGAGTAATTCTTAACCTAATATATATATATTAGTATGAGCATGGTATTCGGGTAATGAAGCGGCCCGGATACGTGGACTTGTGATAGATCGATAAATGAGCTATGAATGAGTATAAGCTTATATGATGAGAATTGATAATGTGGATATGTATGAGTTTGCTATTTTCAACGTGCATTGATGAATGATATATGTGAAGAATGTATTGATGTGCAAATGAGATAATTGTGTAAAGCATCAATGAGTATATGATATGATATGTGTGCCTACGGGCTTATGACGAGATGCTTTACATGAGTATTGTCTAATCCATGAACTACGTGGTCACCTAATAAAAACATAATGGCTCCTTGTTATGCACTCATGAAACGAAAACGAGAAGAAAAGAGTTATACGAGAACTCCCTATAAGGAGTATCGCCAGGCCTGGCTACGAGTTCATGAGATATGGCACTTCGTGCTCACGAGAATACGAGTTCCTGAGATATGGCACTTTCCGCCCACGTGTTTATGAGATTTGGCACTTTGTGCCTACGAGATTACGAGATCACGAGATCCCGGGGAGTGCATAACTTGGCATTAAAAGTAAAATGTACATAATCTAGCTAACTATGCTTGTGTTTAAGCCTTGGTACAAGGATTTCCTGTGATGTGGCTATGTGATGTTTCCTATGATGTGTTCAATAGATTGTTAATGAGATTGACGTATTTATGTGAAGGCTTTACTGTGATGTGTTCATGCAATGATTTATCATGAGATTGTGTAGTTGTTACATGCCTCCATATGTTGCTGATTATACGGTGATACCAAAATAATGTGTTAGTAAATGTTTTTACCTGGAATAGGGTTTGATATGAGTAACTCAAGGGTAAGTGTGTATGATATGAGAACCGCTTAAATTGGTTAATGAACCTTGCATACATAGTTGGGTAAAGTACCATTTAAGCTACTAGATTCGTTAAGTGAACTTAAGCCCTTGGTGCACCTGATCACCGTGGCGCAACTGAAGTATATATTGGGTTATTAATTACTCATTGAGTAGCGTCTCACCCCGCCAATATTTTTCCCTTTCGGAGCCAAAGAAATAGCAGAAGCCTCGGTCGAACCAGTGAAGTCAGCCGGATGGCTGAAAGGTGTACGGCGGAACTGAACTCTCCACATGTTTTCACTTTTGAAGTCGAACTAAATGTTTTAACGGTTTTAAGCTTGTGTGCCCATTGAATGTTAAACTACTATGTTGGGTTTGCATTTTGTTTTAAACTCAAACTTCGCACCGTTCGGTGTTCTGCTTTTGGATGCTTTGGGAAAACTAGCTTAAATTTTCTAAGCAGGTGATGTAACCGATATGCTAGTGTTATGTACAGGTCTGAATGTGAAGTTAAAACCTAAGGTTTAATGAGTATATAATGTGATGATGTTTTCCAATAGTACGAGAAGAAGTAGTAGGATGTTACAAGAAGTAGTAGGGTGTTATAAGAGTGCACCCATCATCAAGAACAGACGCCTCACTCGCTCCTCATCAAACTGCCTAAAACATTCTAGGGTCAAACAATTTGGCGTCCACCGTGGGGATGAGTGAAGCACTGAAGAAAGGATGTATGAGAGCTCCGGGACTCCTGTCAAGGGTGTAGTAGAAAGAAGCAACATTCAGGGATTGGAGATGCCAACTATGGAGGAAGAAATGGAGATGGAAGACCGCGTAAAGAGTCAGGGAAGCAAATATCCAGCATGCAAGAAAGCATCGGCCAGATCTTGGCCATGCTCAAAGAAAAAAGCATACCTGAAAAGGGAAACGACACACATGAAAGCTCGAGGAAGCAGAAGACAAAAGGTAAAGAAAGAGAAGAGGATCCTGAAAGCCCTGCTCAGACAGTAGGCGAGGAGTCCGAAAAGGAAGAGAACGCTGAAGATTTCAACCTGAGTTTTCTAGAGGAGCACCTTAGACCGTCGTATGAAAGGGCAAAAGCCCACAACAACATCCTCCAAAACCCCCTAGCCAAAAGTCTATTCAGAACACAGGTCCCTTCCAACTTCTCGTCGATGGGGTTGCCAACCTATAGCGGGATTTTTTATACTACAGACCACTTGAGCGCCTTTATGCTCAAAATGCAACTAATCAATGCCTCGGACGCAGATTTATGCAAGGCGTTCCCAGTCACGTTCGACGGTTAGTGTCGAACCTGTTATACCTCCCTTCCGGAAAGGATTATCGAGAGCTACGAGCAGTTTGCCACGCTGTTCTCATCAAAGTTCGCGTCTCAAAGAAGAAGGAAGCTTACCGTGTCGGCACTTATCAACTGCAAGCAGGGAGGAGAAGAGACGATGACAGACTTCTATGATAGGTGAAACACCATAGCATGTGAAGTACAAGAAATCTCACCATGCGTGGCACCGGGTAACCTGGGAATGTCGACGCATAGCTGCGAGTTGAAAAGAGCGCTCATAAAAAAGGATCACGTCTTGAAGTCTTGACCTGACCTGGATCGCCTAGTGAGAAAGGCAATCATGCTAGAGGAAGAGCTAATACCTGAAGACAACGTCAAGCGCATCAACCCCAGAGTTGAGAATGTAGAAAAGAAAAGGGGAGGATCGCCAAAGAGAAGAGGGCGCTCACAGACAGGCAGAATTATAAGCCACGGTACCCCAACCGCGACAACAGGCACCAAGTGTTTACCACTGAAAAAGAGGAAAGACATGGAGAGCGACCAGTCTCGTGGGATTCTCGAGGTCGAAATTCGGGTGTTGGGTTTAATAACCTTGCAAGTGACAATAGGAGAGGCATTAGGGATGGTGACTGGTGTGCATTATCGGCGCCTTGGCGGGCGTCAGCAACCCCGGTCCTCTCTGTCTGAGAGGGTAATGGGTACATCGTGCGGCGGTTCGCTCTCGGCTTCGGAATAGCTAAAATTCCCAAGGTAATCGCCAACCGTCGAGAACGTTCCCTGCATACCGGCAGAAGTGCCAGCATGGCCTAGGCGGTCCTCGACTATCCCTAAAAGTCCATAACCAAGACTACCTAAGTTCCCTCTAACGAGTAAGAACTCGAAAATAGCACACTAGGTCTAAGTTCTCTACTTCCCATTCTAAGCCAGACAGCGAAAAGGGAAAGAAGTCAAAACATACCTTGAGCGTCCTATTTAAATCTAGAGGATGGACCGCTCGACCCGCCTCTAGTCTTTGCAGAAGATCAAGGAAGACTGGTGCCCGAGCTGGAAGTCCGGACCTCGCCGGAAGTTGTGGCAGCGGCAACGTCGCCGAAAAGGTTCTCGTTCTGACTATCAGAGGGAGTAGTGCTCTGAGAATCGATCGCCATTCTAAATTGTCGATGTTTTTTCTTCCTTCGTTGTTGCTTTCTCTTCCTTTGTTACTGGGATTGTTTGAACTCGGCCAAGAAGTCCGCTCGGTTCAGTGATGAAAGGAGGAGATGATCTCGCAAATAAGAAGAAAGGGAGAATCCTGAGCAGCAAGCAGTTTTGACAGAGTAACAAGGAGAGCTCGAAAAAGAAAATGCTGAAGAAGAAGAATGAATAAGAAGAATGATGGGAAGGTATAAATAAGCAGCCCGAAGGGAAAAAAGGGGCAACGACACAACGGTTGAGTGACCAAGTCAGAAACCCTAATCTACAAATTTCAAAATAACAGGCAGGCGAAGCGACGTCTGAGTTGCCCGTTGTCAGGGCAGACAGGGCTCGACATTCGAGTGCCGCCACGTGGCTAAGCATGTAGAGGGGATGGAGAAACGCAAAGGGTAAACTGCTTCAGAAAGCTCTAGAAGACCGCAAAACATTCGAGTGCTGCCACGTGACTAAGCATGCATAGGGGAGGGAGAAACGCAAAGGGCAAACCGCTTCGGAAAGCTCTGGAAGACAGCACATGTTTATGGTTAAGTATAGGAGCATTGGGCGTGGAAAATCTCCGTCTCTCGCGCAGCCAGGGGCATGATATAGTGTAGCGGTTATATGAGACGGACCGCTCAACATGAACGCTGAGAAGATTATAGCCAACTTCACGACTAAAGGGCAATTGTTGGGCCCATAGTTGAGCGGTACTGGATCCTAAGCCTAGTAAGAATGGTAAGTTAGACCCAAAAGGGAGACGCCGACGGGAAAGGACACGACAGGCGGTCGTTAGTGACGTGACAGGTATAGATCGTCTGACATAAAGCAATGATTGTGACAGGGAAAGGTGATCTCCTGAAGATACTCACCTTGAAACAAGCAGGACTAAACATTAATCGTAACGGTAAAGTACCACATAACCGGGACGCCTACGGCGTGCATTTAATGACCTAAGCTCTACTGAACTGAGTATAAATACCCTCACACCAGCATTGATGGTAACTCAACTACTTCCTCTATCTTTAAATACATATATATATATATATATATTCTTACTTCTCTCTCTAACTTAAGCATCGGGGAGTGTCCAGGGCAACCGCCCACAGACCCTTGTTTTGCAGATGTCATGAGTGCACCCATTAGCAAGAACAAACGCCTCACTCGCTCCTCGTCAAACCGCCTAGAACATTCTAGACCCAAATACTAGGATTGTATATATGTTGTCTCAAATCGACGTTACATGAGGAATTTTTGCAATCCAACTCATCTTAATTTCATTACCGTTACATCAATGTAATTAACTTACAATTGCGTATGTAGTTAAATATTATGTCTGCATCAATGTAATTGACTTTTATATCTTTCTTAGGCCACTTTTCTTTTATAGACAATTGCATTTGTTGCAAAATTGCAATAAATAACCGTATTAAAGCAATTGTTTGTCATTTCAAAAAAGTACATGCAATTTTATTTGCAATTGGAAATAAAAGAGCAATGATGCTCTTAATAGTGAAAACTACAGTATGCATTTGTGATGTAGTAGTGTTTCATAAAAGCACTCGAATACTTAAGCCACATATTTTGGTACTTGGAATATGTTGTTGCACATAAACATTTCTTGTCAAGCATGGTCACTCCAAACACTATCCGTGGTTTTGTTTCAAATTTTTTTGAAATTTAGGAGGCAAATATGTTTAGGGTTCAGATAGAATAAACTTGAGAAAAAATAAAAATATTTTTATTAATAAAAAAGTTATTGATTGCATGGTGAATAATTTTCTTTTCCAAAAACATTTAAATCTTTAATGAGTCAAATCCATTAACTAAGGGCCCAATATATTATCAGATGACATAAACCTAAACAAAGCAAGAGACAAAAAAAAAACAGAGGAACCCAAGGACTAGTTAGATGGGTTAAAGCATGGACCACATCATTACATAATCCAGGGACAAAAAAAAAAAAAAAACCCCCAGCCACTAACACTTAAAAGGCATCATTGATCTGTCTCCTAATGCAAATTTGGTTATAGACGGCAACTAAAAATGACAATTTGAATTCATTTTGCCGGATATGATCCGACTTGACTTGTGATAGAACGGATATTACCTTACAGCAGTAGCATGAGGTGTGACATGAGTATCTACTTTCGACCTGTTCTACTCTGACTGTCCTTGACTCATTTTATCCCATTTATAATAATATATATTCATACTTGTCATATTTTGACTTCTCTTGAACTGCTTAAACTTAATCTTTTAACTAATTATATATAATTAATGAATCTATTATCACTATTTTTCATTAATAAAATCTTTTCCTTTTATCAAGTAAAAAAATAAATTTTACGTATTTTTTAAAATAACATATAAAAATGAGTAGATACTTCTCACCCGTAGTCATATAAGTATTACCCGCCCCAACTCGTGGAGCAAAAATGGGTATTAAGGTATGACTCTGCCCTACCCGTTTGCCATCACTTCTCGCACCGCTCAAATCTTCGTCGTCGTTCTTCAATCTGGAAATCAGGGTAGGCTTAGCAAGAAATTCCAAGCCTCGGGATTTTCCTTGGTGTTGTAGATGGAATGATTACCCAATTGGAATCACTTACTCTGAGTGTACGTGGCGAGCTAGCAGAAAGTCCAAGTCGTTGCGAGACTTCGGCGACGACCCACCACCACCACCTTCTAAATATCTCTGCATCTCGTGATAACCTTTCTTCTCCTGACCCGGCTGTGGCATCCCGCGAGTGATTCAATATATCTTCTGGCTTCTCTTCCTTTTAGCCTCCTCAACTTTGGCCAAGTTAACAAATAAGTCCATTTGGGGTTTGACTATTCAAACCTCTCCTATCCATCTTAACGCCGTTCCAATGCAATTGTTCTAAGTAGGGATGGAATGGGTCGGATTGGGTCGGGTTTTGCCAAATCCAAACCCAAATCTATGGGGTTTATCTGTGAAAAAAACACGAGGTAAAACACATTGGGTTTGAAAAACTCAAACTCAACCCAACCCGCAGGGTATCCGCGAGTTCATGGGTACCCATGGGTTTTTGTTGTAAAAAATTTACAATAACGCATTCCTATCAAAATAAAAGTCAAATATCAATCTCTCAATACACATTATCCATATATAAAACACCATTCTAGAAAATTTAAGCAAATCACAAATTAACCATACAAATTGTTCAACACCAATCTAGAAAACTCAAGAAAATTGAAGCAAATCACAAATTATCTATAAACAACATGATTAATTGAAAGCTTCTTCCTCCTTGTCAATTAAGCTTCTTCACTCTCCACTCTATAATATCAACTTCATTCTAGACTATTAGAAAGAAAAAAAATTAGACATGTCTCCACAAATATAAAGAAGATTAGTTGTTTAGAATATTAAATATATCGGAAAAATTAATTATTGGTGTCGGCAGGTACCCCGTAGCCCGTACCCATGGGGAGGGTTTACTTAAACCCAAACCCAACCCGATGAATAGTGAACGAGTTTAAACCCAAACCCGACCCAAAATCCATCAACGCAGTTTTTACCCGCGTTGACCGGATTGGGTCGGGTAGGGTACCCGTGGGTTCGGGTTTTGTTGCCATTCCTAGTTCTAAGATGGATAATGAGACTCTTTTAAGCATCTCACTAAGAGAAACCATATCAATTCAATTGTAAATATGATTTTTACTACTATCTTATTAATTTAACAAAACTAAAGTGGCAAACTCTTTTTTTTTTGTTATGAATGTAAATCTTTCAATAGAGTTTTCTATGAATTGATCAAACCATCACTTTATTTGTGACACCAAACAAAATTTAAGCTAGCCCCATGACAAAAATTGATTGTCATTAGGGATGGCAATGGGTCGGGTTGGGTCGAGTTTTGCCAAACCCAAACCCATGGGTTTATTCGTGAAAAAAACCCGGGGTAAAACCCACTGGGTTTGAAAAACTCAAATCCAACCCAACCCGTTGGGTATCCGCGGGTTCATGGGTACCCACGGGTTTTTTGTCGTAAAAAATTACAATAACAAGTTCCTATCAAAATTAAAACCAAATATCAATCTTTCAATACAAATTATTCATACATAAAACACCATTCTAGAAATTCAAGTAAATCACAAATTAACTATAAAAATTGTTCAACACCAATCTAGAAAACTCAAGAAAATTGAAGCAAATCATAAATTATCCATAAATAACATGATTAATTGAAAACTTCTTCCTTTCAATTAAGTTTCTTCACTCTCCACTCGATGACATCAACTTCGTTCTACACAATTAGAAAGAAAAATTAGACATGTATGTCCCCACAAACATAAATAAGATTAGTTGTTTAGAATATTAAATATACCGAGAAAATCAATTATATGGGTGTGGGCGGGTACCCATGGGTCGGGTTTACCTAAACCCAAACCCAACCCGATGAATAGTTAACGGGTTAAAACCCAAACCCGGTCCAAAACCCGTCAACACGGATTTTACCCGCGTTGACCGGGTTGGGTCGGGTGGGTACCCGTGGGTTCGGGTTTTGTTGCCATCCCTAATTGTCATCGTATTTGTATTTAGTTTCAATACTAACAACTAAATATCGCAAACACACACTAAAGAATCACAATAATTTAGAGCATACATAAATTATAAGGTATAACGTCAGATGTTGAAATACAAATATGTATGTGTCAGTTGTCTTCTTAGAAACTGAATTTTGACATTTTTTACAATATCATACATACATATCATAAACATCTAACATAATCTTATCATGATTCTTATACGATTTTCTATTAAAACTTGAACGGTCAATTTAATTTTAGTTGCAAGTATTGTAGAACAAAACAAGATTTGAGTTTAAGATTGATTCCAATATCACTCTGCTTCCAAACTCTTTATGCATTTGCCAATTAAACTTGACTTGTGCTTGAATATATTAGTTGAAAGTTTTTGAAGCTCATTAGAAAACTTGTCAAGGTCTCAAGGAGAAAAAGAAAATATCAGAAGAATCAGAGATAAACATTTTAAGAGGAAATTCTCGCGAGTAGCAGAGAAATTGCGACCGCCCGCCGCGAGAAGGTGAAGAAAAGAAAAGAAAAGAAAAGAAAAACTCTTCTTCCCTTCCCCCCCAAAAATCCTCTGACGCGTCCATATTCGACCCCCTCCCTCGCTGGCAGTTCCCCAGCTTTGCTTACCTACGCAATAAACCTCTCCCTCTTATTGCTCCATTCCTTCCGCTTAACATTTGCACGCCGAGGAGAAGAAAAAAGAGAAGGAGTGGTGCGCAGGCAGCTTCACTCAAACTCCTTCTTCTTCACTTGGACGGCTGCGATACTTTCCTTCTTCCCCAATTCCTGATATCCCCTTTTTCTTCCCAGTAACAAGTTAAAGGGGAAATCATCATATTCTGTTATATCCATGCACCCCTGATACAAGCAAAGGGACCACGAGATATATTCATAGAGAGACCCAGAGGGTGATCCTTTTGTTGGGTTCCTTTCAATTCCTGTGTTTTTTCCTTCTCTTCCGTCGGTTGAATTTGAGGGGATGAAGGGCGAGGAGCAATCGAGGTCCCTCTTTGGGATTTCCCTTTCTGATAAACCCAAATGGAAGCAGTTCCTTATTTGCTCTTCTGGGTTCTTCTTCGGTTACCTTGTTAATGGCGTTTGCGAGGTTCGTTTTTCTCTCTTTTATGCTGGTTTTGATTTGTTTGATTGTATGGCCATGCATCGGTTTTATGATCACTCGTTTCATTTCTTCTCTCCTTTGTAATCCACATATTGCAGAAGATGTTAGTACTGCTATTTGCCTGGCTGTCTCTGTGTGTTTGGCCCCTGAGAAAGGCAAAACAGGAAGAGAGAAAGTTTGGGGGATTTGTTTGTTTGTTTGTTAGTGCACTGTTTGCCTTTCCGCAGCAAATGATAGGCCACTGTGTATTGTATTTTCCTGAGACGAGGGTCTGTGAGTTTTAGAATGATGGTTGATTGAGAGAATGTTTAGTGCCAAAATGATTAAAAGAAGGCTTCGAGTTCCCATCTTCAAAGGTCCTTTTCATCACTCACAAGTATCACGTTTGTTGCTGTGCGGCTGCTGCTTACTTTTGTCTTGTTCATTCTCATTTTTGCTCTTGAGAACCTTATCTTTGAACTTGATACCTGACAGAAATTTTCGGCCCTACTTGATAACTGTTAGAAATTTACACCTCTCTGCTGTTATTTTCAGGAATATGTTTACAATCGACTGCAGTTCAGGTGAAAACCTTTCTGCATAACTCCTTAGTATTATGGCTCGTTGTCTGCCATGTAATTCTGATGCAATTTTTTTACTGCCTTCTGATTTTTTCAGCTATGGTTGGTACTTCACGTTTGTCCAAGGATTTGTGTATTTGGCCCTCATATACTTGCAGGGTTTCACCCCAAAGCAAATGGTGAACCCATGGAAAACATATGTCAAACTCTCTGCTGTTCTTATGGGTTCTCATGGATTGACCAAAGGCTCCCTGGCTTTTCTCAACTACCCTGCACAGATAATGTTCAAATCTACCAAGGTGAGAAGATTGTTTTATGTGTTGTGATTCTAATAGACAATTAAGATCGATCTTTGTGATTAATTACACTTGGTGTTTTGCTGTAAAAACACAAATCTCCTAGGTTCTTCCAGTTATGGTAATGGGTGCTTTCATTCCTGGATTAAGAAGGAAATACCCGCTTCACGAATATGTCTCTGCTCTCCTTCTAGTCGCTGGCCTCATCCTTTTCACTCTAGCTGATGCTCATACTTCTCCAAATTTTAGCGTTATCGGCGTTGTGATGATTTGTGGTGCTCTAGTTTTGGATTCCCTAATGGGTAATCTGCAAGAAGCTATTTTTACCATGAATCCAGACACTACTCAGGTGCCTGATTGCATACTCGTTTCACTTTGGATATTATTCTAAAATCCGATGACAGATAAAACAAAGCGAGAGATAATTTTTCATTTTCTTGGTCTCTGGCAGATTGAGGTGCTATTCTGCTCCACTGTTGTTGGACTCCCTTTCTTGCTTCCACCAATGATCCTTACTGGAGAGTTGTTCATCGCCTGGAAATCTTGTGCTCAAGTAAGAACTATGGCTACATGCTGTTTCTTTTTGCCTGTTTGCTTTTCAAATATTCTAGTGTGTGGGTTCCATGACCTATGACGTGCTGGCCATGATTAAGTTAGAATTTACTTGGAATATTCATCATCCTTTTCTCATTTAAACTTCGCTTGGCATAGTTATTTAATCACGTATGGCCTGCTACTTACTATAATAATGTCAAAGTGACACTATAATATAATAGTGGACCCTAAAGTTAGCATAGGTCTCCCGCTTTAGGTCAACTATGGCAATCATATCATGCCTCTAGGAGCTTAGGGTCTTAGGTCATTTGGATGATGAATTGTGGCACACAATCCATCAAAGTAGGAACTGTCCTCAAAATCCACCATTTGGCAAGAAAAACAAACAGAAGGGAGTGTCGAACTGCCCATTTATACAGTTTGTCAAATATTGACTGCAGCATCCCTATGTATACGGCGTATTGGTCTTCGAGGCTTTGGCTACATTTGTCGGTCAAGTCTCGGTTTTGTCCCTTGTTGCTATCTTCGGAGCTGCCACTACTGCCATGGTATGCACACTTTCTCTGGGGTTTTTGCTTGTTATATTTTGCAGATAATGTTAGGAGGTCTTATATTGCCAATCGACCCATCTTGGCAGATTACAACTGCTAGGAAGGCAGTCACTTTGTTGCTATCTTATATGATATTCACAAAGCCATTGACCGAGCAGCATGGGTCTGGATTGCTACTGATCGCCATGGGAATCATGTTAAAGATGATGCCAGATGCCAAACTTCCTCCGAAGATTATCACACGTAAGCAATTGGAGTTACACGAGGAAACCAATTCGGGTGTAGGAAAAGGTGAAGAACAAGAAGATGAAGAGAAAAGACCCCTAGTTTGAAGGATAGAAACACAACTGTTTTTGAACAATCCATCTATTCTTTTCCTTAACTAGTTTGATTCTTTTTGGGTTGCTTGATTTCTTGCCGAACAAACTTCGAAACTAGAAACAATAAACGATATCAAAGGAGTAGATAGATTGATGATGTTTTGCTAGATCGTTACTTTCTGTATTCCGTTCTTTTAGTTTTGTGATAACGTCAAAGAGATCTTTCAGTATTTATGAATACCAAGCTGTTGAAATCCTAAAATTGGGCACTTGGCTATGAAATCAAACAAATCCAAAATCTGACAGAGTTAGAGGGATCGTATCATAAATTATATCGTTTGGATAAGTTTTGTGACCAACCCAGGAAACTAAAGGGTAAGAAGACCTTTCTTATCATTCGTCATATGGAACATGTTAATTGTACAATTAATCTACATGTGTTTGAATCAGTGAAACAAGGTAAAAATTACTGACCCTAATTATTCGTAAGGAAGCTCCTTCACTTTTCTCGCCTTATACATGTGTTTGAATCAGTGAAACAAGGTAAAAATTACTGACCCTAATTATTCGTAAGGAAGCTCCTTCACTTTTCTCGCCTTATACAAGCACACACTGCAAAACTGCCAAAACTTAATAGCCAAAGAAGAGTTCACGGTGCTGATGTACAAACTGCTACACTCACGATTCAGGCGCATATTCCTGGATAGCGGTTGCTAGCTTGTCCCGATCGTCCTCAGTTTTTGTTCGGATTAAGAATGTTCTTGCCGCAACGCTCTCATTGCTACCAGAATCATCCGCCTGCAAAAATTAAAGTGTCAAATGTTGTTAAGTTGGCATTGAAAGATAGATAACAAGTCTCTAGCAGCAGACAAACTGAATAGCGAGTATATATTTACCGCTACATGAAATATGGCAACCACAGAATTCTTCTGTAAACTCGTCTTAATTCCTGGGTAAAGCAAAGCATTTAGTAGCACCTTCCCCAGCTGCCATATAGCACAAAGCACAAGATCAGCCAGTCAAATGAGTCACAGCCTAAATCTCTGCATTTTCATTCTTAACTCAGACATTCGTCAAAACAGTTTAGCATTACTAACAGAACCTTACATCATTACGAATGATAAGAGTTGGGCTTGATTCTTTCGTCCCCTTGCTGACACCCTCGGCACATTTTATAGAAAGCTGCCCTGGTCCTTTGTCCTTCCATGTGTCTTTATCTGCAGGATCAATTGACTGAAAACAAGGTTTTGGCTGTTAAGCGAGCAGCCAAGTATATAAATTCGCAGGTGACACATCAAGAATAGAAGTCCATGTTAATTTCATAGACCTTATGTATTCACATGCAGTGGATCATCATGCCAAATGATAACGAGGGCTGATCAGCAGCAACAGGGAACCGGTGCAGATGTATTTGGACAATGTAATTTCACCAAATGTGGAAATGAAACGGGCAACTAAACAGTTTACCTTGACATAGAGTTTGCACTTTACTTGATGGACAACGGCGACACCCTTTTCTTCAACCTTCTTCACTGATGGACTGCCAGGCTGTGGCAATTCATCTCCTGGTTTACAAATAAAAGTGGCCTCAGTCAGTCCATTAAAATAAATTTCAAAACAGTGAAGGGCAAAGGGAACCAAAATCCACATCATCACCATCAGCTGCATCATCTGAGGCATTATCTTTAGTGGTAGCTGAACTTTGACCCCCTGAAATCCAAAAAGAACAGTATATGTGATATTCAGCTTCAACATGAACTTACCCTCAGGCCGTCATATAACAACTTATGAGTCTTAAGCAGAAAGAGGCGAATACAACAACTCTAAACTGACAAGCATCACTTACCAAACAAGATAGGAGCTGGTACGCTGGCAAACCCACCCGCAGAACTTGGACTCTCACAAGACAATCCACTGCTTGGACTGCTGGAAAAGAAACCAGTACTTTGACTGCTTGAAAACAATGCAGGGCCCGAACCACTTGAGAATAAATTACCACCTTGGCTATTGGATAGTGACCCAAAAGTTTGGGTTTGGCTATTTGAGAATAACCCAGCACCTTGACTATGCAATAGTAACCCGGAGCTTTGGGTTTGACTTTTGGAGAACATCCCAGCACCTTGACTATTAGATAGTAACCCGGCACTGTGGGTTTGACTTTTGGAGAATAAACCAGCACTTTGATTGTTGGCCAAGGATCCCAACTTACTATTTGAGAAAATGCCAGTACTCTGACTGCTCGATAACAATCCAGACGTTTGACTGTTTGTAGGTAACGCAGGGCTTTGGCTACCGGAGAACATTCCAGAGCTTTGGCTATTTGACAGAAGCAGGCTGGAGTTTTTACTACTAGACACTGCTCCCGAGCTTTGATTGTAGGAGAATATGGCAGGAGGCAATGCAGCTGTAGTAAAGCTCGTACTTGTTGAAGCAAAAGCAGGTGGTCTCTCATTAGATAAATTATTCTCATTTATCTTATTAGTATCAGGTGATGGTTTTTTGTCACGGGCAGAAGATTCGGCACCAGGTCCTCCCTTGGCTCCATTTGCTTTTAACCAGTTCACTACATCACTGAACTTTTGCTGACATATGAACAGAAGCAGATCAAAGCCACAAAGATCAGAAATAGAAGAAGGATATCAAAGTTATCGTGGGAGTGGAAGGACACAAAACCTGTAATTCGTACCATGATACTGGATGCATGAGTAAGATAGTCATGAACTCCATCTTCCCAAAGTTCATCAGGGTGATTCTTAAGTTGTTTTTGCACCCAGCTATTACCAGTCAGGAAAAAACATGCTTAGCAAAAGGATTACTTGGAAGCCAAACACACCTCAGTAGTGAAGAAACCACTCTACGGTATGTTCAAAGAGTACACATCAAAAGATTCACAATAAAAAGAGAGCCAAACATAAGCAGGAGAGAAGAACCTGCTGACCTGGCGTATTGGGAATTGAGAGCTCTCACATGCTGTCGAGACAACTCAGCTCGCTGCACATCCAGAGATGGCGTTGCAGTTTTGAACTGTTTCTGCGATGTTACTGCCTTGTGAACATCAGAAAAGGATCCCATTGCCCTTTTAGTTCGCATCTGTAACAGCATTGAAAGTCCTGAAGTGAGTGAGCCTCCACAAGTGACTATCAACCAACACTCATGCTTCAACGCATTATAATACTTCATAAACCAGAAACAAAAATAAACCAACTGTTTAGTTGCCAGACCCTGTCCACATTCTGAATGGCCTAAACACATTCCAGAAGGACAACTCTACCAAGTCTACGTGTCCTCCACAGCAAAATAAACGACAGAAAAGAAGGAACGTATAGGCATAAATAGCCAAGATAACAAATTTGCACAGCCAAAAATCAACTTTGGATTGCCATCAAGGAAGTTTCATTGTCCTAAGGTGTAGCATTGATTCTCTATCTTAAGTTCGCTTCCAAACAAGCAGGTCTACACCTTAGTTTCTAGAAGAACTCGATAGGCAACATAAAAGTCTGTTTTTTTTTCTTCTGCAGTTGCCATTGCTGCTACATGGAAGAGAAAAAGTTCCCAACTTTCCTTCAGGTCTCCATTCCCCTGCGGAAAGCCTACAGTTCCAACTCAAGCCCACCTATCAAAACCGAAAAGGCATTGCCCACAAATTCGACAGAACAGAGCAGCAACCAAACAAAACATCAATTAGGGTTTTTCCCCCACACAGAGAGCAACAACTTACACCCGTGTCATTGGACTCCGGCGCCAACTCCGACGACGATGTGGCGAGACGTTTTGTTCCTCTCATGATTGATTTCCTCTGCCCTTTCAGCGAAAGATCGAAAAGGCTATAAGCCACCAAAAAATAGGAACAAAGACAGAAATTTTAGGGCTTTGCTTTTCAACTTCAAATTAGAACTGTTCTTTTTTCGTTTTCACTTTCAGGGGGGACTTGGGATTCATTAATTTTCTTTTGTTTTTGGTGTTTCTTTTTTTTTTTTGGTTGAACGACTGCCGTCCAATGAGGTGGGTAAGTAACTTTTAACGGCAGCCGTTGGATTTCGTTTTGTCGGAGGGCTAGATTTGATGGGCCGTGGGAGACTCTCTCATTAGTTTGCAGTTTGCACGTGGACCACATGGCTGGAGTGCCGTGACGGGTCCCACTGCCACTGTTCTTGGGGTAGACCTGGCAATCGGGTCGGGTTGGGAACTTCGGTTACGGGTCGGGTCATGTTTGGTTGGCTTATTTCAGGTCAAATATTGATCCAACCCATTCGGTTTCGGGTCAGGTTACAGGTCATTTCGGGTTATGAGCAGAAACAATATCAAACATGCTTCATATTTTCTTAAAGAACACAAATTTTCACATATGCATGACAATAGTTTACCTAACACATGTCAATTAACATATTCACAAATCCTCTCACGCTAATGAAATAAAACAAACACAAGAGTAATACTACTACAAGAAACATGTGATATTTGATTATCCTTAAACTCCAAACGTGTCGTTCAAGTCCTTGTGATTTTTTTAAACATCTCACCAATTTATGAGTGATTTTATCATATTTTGGAAGTAATATATTAAATGGAACGGGTCTAACGGGTCGACCCGCTAACCCATCCAACCTGACCCAAAATCACGGGTTATCAGGTTCGGGTCATTCAGATTTCGGGTTACAAATTATTTTAGTTTTCGGGCGGTTTCGGGTCGGGTCAACGGGTCGGATTGTAATTTGCCTGGTCTATTGGGGGAAGGTTTTGGCTCTTACAAAGCCCAATGAGAGCTACAAATGGGTCGCAATAAAATCCGTATGAGTTTTTTTTTTTTGTTATAGATAATAACTAGCCTACAGCCCGGCCCGTTGGCCGCATTTGTTTAAGGAAATGGAGTTACAATATCTATAATGATAGTGTCGAGAAAAGAGTCTTGTTTTATATTATCATAAGATTGTTGCAATTTTGCAATTCGTTGAAGACGAACATGTAATATGAATGAACATTCATAATAAGTTAGAAATACATTTGAAGATTAGCTAATCACAATAAAAATACTTACATGAAATTTTACTAATCACAAATCTAATCTAGTTGAGTATTACGACAAATAACATGCAAGTCCAAAATAAGAAAACTCAATACATTGTCTCATTGTTCATGACATGGTACTCAATTCAACAAAGGCAAAAATAATTTCACCAACACAAGTTCACAATAACCAAATGCATTGTTCCAGGGAACGACTGTGACCATGACTTCAAATGTCTGTTCTCCAAGCATGTTTAGAAGGGCCATATAGTCAGCATTGACAACATCTGCATGACTGAATACAGATTCAACAATCGTTCGTAACTGTGATGACGGGAAGACGATGTTAACACCAATGAATTCGTCCTCAATTGTGAGGTGTACGAAATGGATTCTGGATGCAGGGGACCAGGACGTCGTCAAATTCGTTACACGTCCGGATAACAAAAAAGAGGTGCCCTGATGTAAACACAGAAACGAATATTGTCAAAGCAAATCGATAAAATGCAGCATGCCACAAAAGGCGTACGATTAAAAAGAAATTTATTTGTTTAGTTACCTGATTTTCGACATCCACTTGCAACATAATGAGATCGATGGTGTCGGCACGCTCACAAATTTCAAGAGCATCATCATATTGCAGATTAGCAATAAAACCATGGGGAAGCCTATATATTGGACTGTAAGTTTTGGCATTAAGTAGTGAAAAAGAATCGAAATTACATGATGTAGTATTTGTTGGATGCATGAGCAGTACTTACTGATTGAATTGAGGCAGGCCCGCCATATTGAATGCAATTCGCACGGTCAATGGAACCGAAGTGTTTTGTATGGGAAGTAGTAAACGGAAATTGTAACATGAGAGAAAGTGGTATCTCCATTATATAAAGGAGAGAAAGTGATTCTACACACGTGATTTACTTGGCCGCATGCAGTGGAGTACGTGTGTGTGTGGAAAGTGGGATAGTGGGGGAGTGGAGAAGGATTTGTGGCCTCGTGGGGGGAGTGGAGAAGGTTGGCCATTTAGAGTTCAAGAGGCGGGTGTGTCACGGAACTCACGACCCACTTTTTTTTTTTTTAGGGGAACGACCCACCTTCTTAAAATCAAACATGCGCCTTCCTTTTATTTTGTTGCAATTAAAAATTCAAAAACAAAAGAAGGTAAGTACAGAATAAAATATAAAGAGAAGAAAAATCAGTTCACTTTTCCCAAAAAAGACCTAGCAGCCGCCCAAATTATGCTTTTTCAGTTTTAATAATTCTCACTTTATTCTTTTATCTCTAATAAGTGAAACAATAATTGTAAAAAAAAATTTGTTAAGTCTACCAAGTAAGTCAACACCGGTTTATGATCGGTTTTTAATATCGATTAACCACCGGTTATTTGATAAACCTTGAACCCTTTACTAATCCGGATCGATGTCCGGTTTCGTTTTAACAACATTGCTAATTGCGACTGTGTCAACAATTCTTGTCCAAAATTGCCTCTCAAAGTTGCTAATTATTATTTGATGCGCCAACCCGGCCGGCCCGGCCCACACCACCACTAATTAACATGAAATGAAAATCATAATGAATGTATTTAATAAAGAAATAATGGCTTGGAATGCGGCAGCATTCACCTCATAGAAAATCCAAAAAAATTGGATACTGGGCAGTAGAGGAGGTGGGGGAGTGGGGGAGTGGAGAAGGATCCGTCCAAGGTAGTGTAGGTTGGCCTTTTTTTTATGGGAATAGGTTGGCCATTTAGTTTCAACAAATCCGGCTGGGCATTCCCTCTCTAACTATATTTTATTTAACTGAACCATGCTTGGGTTGTTTTCTGGGCTGGGTTGTGGTGTTAATTTAGTTTAGTTCAGTTGCGACTATGGAAGTTCTTCTTCGTATTGCAATATAACGGCCACACTCGCATACCCTTCGGTAGAGTAAATTGAGGTACAATTAAATATAAAGTAGTGTGCATAAATCACATTTCATATAATTGGCTGTTAAAAACAGGAAAATAATTTGGACAAATTGAAAACTCAAGATTCAAATTGTAACGACCGGATAAATTTGACAGTCTTAGTCCTCAAATCGAATAAAACATAATACATCAATAAACCACTACTCAAAAATCTCAGTGAACACAATGTTCTGCATAGTCTTCACCGGTTTACCTTGAGAGTCACAGGTAAGAATCTTGAGTCCCCTTTCCGACGTAACTCGAGACATAGCAACATACAACTGTCCATGAGAAAATACTTGTCTTTGCAAGCAGATGCCAACGTGATTTAATGTTTGACCTTGACTCTTGTTAATTGTCATTGCATATGACAGTGCAATTGGATATTGCCTTCGAACCAGAGTGAAATTTAAGCTCTTGTAGTGGACTGATAGACTTAGGCGTGGTAAGAAAACTGTATCACCAACATGTGTCCTGGTCAAAATTTGGACCTCAATAAACCACTTACCTAATCTCTTAACGATCATCCGAGTTCCATTGCAAAGCCCAGTACTCTGATCCAGATTTCGAAGCAGAATAACAGGGCACCCCAACTTCAATTTCAACTCATGTTCCGGAAAATTCCCAATCTTTAAAGAGTTCAAGAATTCAACTGTGTAGTCCCCTTCTTCAACATGCTGATTCTTGGCATCAATCTCTAGCGAATCCGAACTAAAATAAGAAACTTCTTCACCAGGAAATAGACCCAATACATAATTGTTAATGGCCGCAACAGTGTCATTATGAGGGGCTGAGATAGCTCGCTCAACCAAATAGGTTGACATATTTTCAGTGGAAAGTAACTGACCATATATTTCAGCAACAATATCAGGAATTGGATCACTGCGACGGGGAACACAAATGTGTAGAGGTATCGGGATAATTGATTCTCCAAAAATATTACTATTTGTACCATCACCAATTTCCAAAAGCCATTTGCTAAAATTTGAGATTGCTAACCTGGCCGATGCTTCAGAATGAGGCGATTTTAATCGCATGTTCTCGGTTAGCTTCAATACTGTCATAGACCGCCACAAATAAGATCTCTTTATGGAAGAATTAACAATTTCAGTCCGTGTACCCTTCGTGATGATAGGTAACGTCTGTCGGAAATCACCTCCAAACACAATAGTCATACCTCCAAAAGGCTTCAACTCAGAATCAACATGCTTAACTCGGAAAATATCCCTCAATGTCCTATCTAGGGCCTCTATGTTGTGTTTATGAGCCATCGGTGCCTCATCCCAGATAATAAGTGAAGCATTGAGAATCAATTCAGCTACCTCAGAACCTTGCTCAATATTGCAAGTTGATTTTGTGTCACAATCCAGGGGAATGTGAAATTTTGAGTGTGCAGTTCTTCCACCGACCATGAGCAGTGCAGCAATACCAGATGAAGCAACACATAATACTATCCTCTTCTCAAATCTTAATTGCTCACAAATTGCTCGCCACAGAAATGTCTTACCAGTACCCCCAAATCCATCCACAAAAAAGCATTTACCCTCATTGGTATAAACAGAATGTAATACCATATCGTAAGCGATTTGTTGTTCTCCATTCAACGGTCTACTATGTCGATCCTCAGAACAGTCTAAGTCATCGGGTCCATAATTCATCTCCATATCTATCAGCCTGTTTACCGTATGTGAACGCAAACACTGATCGGGAACAGGCAACCCAGGGAAATCTGCTAATGACTTCGAAAATCTCTCCATCAATTTGTCAATATGAATAAGGCACAACTCCTTAATTTCATCCTCCGACAAATTCAACTGGGGTAAATTCAGCTCTCTACGTCGTGAATGCAAAATGGCTTCACTTAGTAATTCCCAATTCTTTAACCAAAAAGAAGTCACATCAGCCACCTAACAATGAATAAGAATTGTGACAAAAAGTTTTCTAAG